CATGAGGTGATTGGCTGGGAATTAAACCCTGTCCCCTGCATGGAAGGTGAGACTTCTTTATTGAGCCACCTTTGCCTCATTGCAGGGCCTTACAAACCATTAAAGATTAAGGGCAGAGGAAAAGCATTGATGGGTTTTTGAGTAGGGGACTGACATAATTAGTTTGGGGGTTTAAAAAGCTCAAGGATCTTATACTGAAAATGAATTTTAAAAAATAATATATCCAGAGATTTCATTGTCATCAAATGACTGTGCTAAATACATTATGAAGTGTTCTGTAAGAATGGAGAAAGCAGAGCAGAGCCAAAATCTTTCACGTTTTTGTCTCTAAATCCATGACTAATTATAAATCCCTGACGGTTGAAGCAGCTGTGTTCAATGTCGGTGCTGGAGACTGACAGTGGTAGGTAGGCTACTTATGTTGTAGAGTCTCAGCCTCTTTGCCGGCCATGTATAAAATACAGGCAGTAGCGGTGCTGATGTTAACAGGCAAAAACCAGCACATGGCAGAATGTGTTAGAAGTAGGACAGAGAACTAAAGAATTCACTCATTAGCCAAGTTAATAAAGAAAAGCTCACTGAATCCAGTGATTATGCCCAGAAGAGAAGAATTAAACAACAGATGGGTTGGATTGATAGTAAGCAAAAATTATATTAAAAAGTCAGACGTTGGGGCCTATTTAATTCAGAGAAGCACTAGTTGTCAGTATCATCAAGGAATGAGATTAACAAAGAAGTGAATAAATTAATGTCACTTCCCTCAACAGCTAAACAAAGTCAGTACTGAAAGTACAATATAAAGGAAGAAAAGAGGCAAAACCTCCGTGATTGCTAAATTTATGGTAGTGTGCTATTTAAACATGTTTTACTGTGTAGGTGTCTGTAGATAACAAACTCATATATAGCTCTTAGTAAAACATCAACTTTTTTGTGTGGTGCTGCCTGATTCTCTAAGAACCTGATGAGTTTCTTTGAGAGAAAAGCAGCAGCCCAATCTAGTTCAGCTGTACTCAGTCTGAGTTGCTTTTCTACCTACAAACCCTCACTTCAAAGCAAGGAACATAATGTACAATTTTTTAATGGCTCTAGACCCAGGCACTCAGACTCTCTGCTCTGCGCCTTACCTCAGTGTAAACACCTAATCAAGATTGCCTGCGCTTCAACAATAGCAGCCAAATGCAATTCGAGAACCACAAGCCTTTGAAGTCCTCCTTGCAAAGGCCGGTTTTCTAGTCTGGGATAATGACATGCCATGATTGCTGTCTTTGTTGTATCTTTTCAGTAGAGAAGCAATTATAGGCCCCAATTTAACAGAATAGACATTACACAGCTTATGATGCTCAAAATGCAATTTCATTTGATCATTTTCTCAATTTGATTGGTATTAATAGAATGGTTCACACACACATACACACACACACAAAATAGCTGGCAGAGGTTGTGTCCCATTCCACTTTCAAAGAGATAATGTAGAAGTATGCTTTACTTGCTCAGAGACTCTCACTGGGGTGATTCAGCCACTGAGTTCCACCAAAACAGCCTGTGGATGGAAATAATGTATATCCTATTTTCTTCAGCAAAGGAAGCATTGTTAGTGTTATTGCCATCCACTCGGGCCCCTGACTTATGGCAATCCCATGTGTTACAGAGTAGAACTGTGCTCCATAGGGCTTTCATGGCCTATGGAAGCACATCATTATGCCTTTCTACTATGGTGCCACTGTTGTTGTTGTTATGTGCCGTCAAGTCGGCCCCGACTCATAGCGACCCCTCCTTGGGTTTCCAAGACAGTATCACTACGGAAGTAGGATTGCCCAATGGTGCCACTGGGTAGGTTCAAACTGTCAACCTTTAGGTTAGTCAAGTACAAATCATTGCACCCTCAGGGAACTAAAGGAAATATAGGGCAGTGTATTTCTAATTTACAAACTTTTAAGTAAAGTTTGTAACAGATTCCATCATTGTCAATCAAATAATTAACATCATCAATGAAAAATTGAATTAACTAAACCAAGTCCCCTTCACTTCACTCAGCTTTAACAAAAGTCAGAGACCCAAACATCCTAGTGGCAAGCCTATGAAAGAACTCCACTATTGTTTCTCCTGGAGCTCTGGTAGCATAGTGCCTAAGGCACTTGATTGCTAACCAGAAGGCTGGCTGTTCAAACCCACCAGCCACTCCTCGGAAGGAAGGTTGGGCAATCTACTTCTGTAGTGATACTGCCTCGGAAACCCAGGGAGGGGTCGCTGAGTCAGGGCCAACTCCACGGCATATAACAACAACAACAACAGTTGTTTCTCCCAGACTTCAATTCCTCAGAGCTATCATCTCTCTGACGTTTGGAGAGGGACTGTTTCCTTCACTTGCTTAGGCAGCCTATGGAGATTTTTATTCTTGTGACCTTGCAGTTCTCCTCCAGAACAAATAAGTTACGTTTCTCTTTAACATGATGGTAATAAGAGATTGAAACCTTTGCAGTAGTGATGATAAAAATACTTTTATAGTTACCTAGTGTTTCTTGAGGAGCTCTGGTAGCATAGTGCCTAAGGCACTTGACTGCTAACCAGAAGGCTGGCAGTTCAAACCCACCAGACACTCCTCGGAAGGAAGGTTGGGCAATACACTTCTGTAGTGATACTGCCTCGGAAACCCAAGGAGGGGTCACTATGAGTTGGGTTCAACTCAACAGCAGTGGGGTTGGTTTTTTGATTTAGTGTTTCTTGAACTAGCACTGTATGAGGGACTGGGAGATGGAAATGAGAAATGGTTCCTGCCCTGAAGCAGCAGCATTTATTGTTCAACTACAAGTTCAGAGGTTTTGTGGTACTGTGAAGTTTTTCGTTTGCCAAATAGGTCATCATCCAAAACCTGTTGATTTCTTTCATTTGTAATCAGAAAAATTGCCTAATCAAATAGTGCATTTTCTTCCTCCCCATTTTCTGGTCAACCTTTAAGTATTTAAACTTCTGTTCTATCTATTTGCCTTATCTGTATATATAATCACAATCATCATGATAGTGAGGTATAGGTAAAAATAAGGTTACACACAGAACAAAAGAAACAAAAAGCTGTCTCATGCCCTGAACAACACTGAGTTGTAAGAGATGAGATTAAATCCTTGTCAACTATTTACTTATTACTTATTATTTAACAAATATTTTTGCCTCTTTCTGTATTGAATATTAGTCTACATAAGTACAAAATAAAAGTAAGCAGAAGAAAGAATTTGAACACAAACTTGATAGATCCTAAATCCCATGTTCTCTCCATTGTTAGAACTCGCTGCATCTCGCATACCACACAGCCCACCAAAAGATATGTAGCAAACAAGTGTAAAGTCCTGAATCTAAATTTAAAAATTAATTATATCAAATTTAGACATGACAGCATTTACAGGTGATAAACCAGAGAGTGGCCAGAGGAGGTGAACCTGAGTGATGTATCACAGGAGGAACATCAAAGAAATCTGAGATGGTTCCTCTAAATGAGAGAAGGTTTAGGAGAGAAGTCTTAGTCAGCTTCTAAGAGTTTAGTGCTGTTGTCTAGAAGAACGATTGACTTACTATGTTATTCCAGAAGACGGAGGGCTGAAAGTCGCAGGAAGTTACATATCTGCTCATATAAGGAAGGCCTTCTTACTTCTCAACAGCTGGATTGCTAAATGATGGGATATGAACAGCCATGAAATAGAAATTAAAAGACCTAATATTTGACTTAAGGGGGTGCTTGAAAGAACCAGGAGTCCCACAGAAAGGGAACGTTCACAAGCTTTATCCTTTTCTCCCCCTCAAGCCATAGATCTTTAAACATGTTTCAAGACTGACAAATAGGTAACTCCCACCAGGAGAAGGGGGAGGCAGAAAGCAGATGGGCATCTACCAGAGATGGTATAGAAGTGCTCTGGAGGTCGAACTGGACTTACATCCTGAATCATTTCTAATATTAAAATTCTGTAACTTTAGGTTTGCTTTCTGAAGTGTAACCTGATGGTGAGAATTCCACACATCACAGAAATTATCTAATTCTTGATTTAAAACAGATACCCAGTTGAGGCACTGGGGAGCTCTTGAGTAATTTGTGTAGCTGCCTTCATCTATGGTTTCCAAACCTACCTGGCTGCAGACAGTAGAACAGATACCTAGAATCGACCTGACAACAATTGGTCCTGTTTTGTTTTGTTTTCGGGGGGTGGGGGGGATAGTCCCAAGAATACTGATATCTGGGTTGGTGCCAAGCCATCCAAGCCATTAGTATTTTTTAAAAGCTTCCCAGATTATTCTAATGTGTAATTAAAGTTATAGTTCAAACTTACTGAATACCAAAACTACAAATTGAGACGTTCAAGGATAAGAATGTTACTAACAATTGAGCTAGTTTAGCACAATTGTTCAGTGTTCAGCCCCTGTAGTCAGACTGCATGGCTGCTTACTTACCAAATGTAGGTCCTAGATAAGTTACTTAACATTATTGTACCTCTGTTTTCTCATTTGCAGTAAAGGGATAATAATAGTACATACCTCATAAAGTCATTGTGAAGGCTAACTAGTATGTTAGTTGCTAAGTGCTCAGGATAGCTATTGGCATACAATAAGCATCCAATGTATGTTGAATATTGTTGTTGCTATTGTTATTGTTATTGTCATCATCCTGGGGTATGGCTTTATTCCATCATGTTTCTATTGGTGTGCTCAAATGTCAGTTTCAGCATCCAGTTCAGATAACTGTTCTGAGATTGGGTCCCCTGAGTTTAAAGTAAGTAGTAGTTTAACCTCAAAGTACCAATTCTCACATTGTGCCTGTAAGAGAAAACACTGTTCATTCCCATTTTCCTTGGGAACAATCCTGGTCCCTGAGGACTGGAGAGATGAATCCTTGAAATTAACTGAAAATAAAGCCTAGCCCTGCAGGACTTCTTTCTAGAGTAGACAGACTTGAGCCCCATGGCTCTTAAGACTCAAATGAATCCAGTTAACATGCTATATATGTTTTACCCTCTTAGATCTCCTACCCTGACAGAGTAACTGACAAGACGCCTATTCAGAATGCCAAAGAGATTGAAAATGCTGCCATCAATCATGAAGACAAGTGGCATCAAAGAGCCCAACAGCTAAAGGTTACCTGCTAGATTGAATTTTAAGTGTATTTCAAGGGATACTGCTGAATATAAGTAATAGTGACTGACTTCTCTTACACTTAAGGGTTTATTCTTAAGCCTGAAAATAGTTACCAACCTTCCTATGGTTAAGAATAGCTTCTGCCCAGGAGAGTGATTGCTTGCTCAGCTAGTTAACCCCATCCATTTTTCCAAAAGTTCTATTTCCTAGAAGAAAACCATCATATCAGTCTTTAAACATACAAAGTTAAAACCCCTAACAGAAGGAAGCCATGGAGAAAACCCATAAAAATCACCATTCCAAAATAATGTTTAATTCTGTGCTACTCCTGAGTCTCTTTCATTTTGAAACTGGCAGTGAATTACAAAGAATCCCTAGGTGATGGGGGACACCATCCCTAAAAATAAGTAGGACTCCCTAGAGTCTCACGGAACCCTCATTTTCAGAATGTGGAAGGCTACCAACTGATAATTTAGCATGATGACATCCATTTTAGCCATAGGATTACTCATTTGAAACCATAATGCAATTTCAGGGAAGATAGATGTGAACTGTTCCCACTGGCTGTGCATCTAGGAGAAACAGAAAGAACACTGGCACTTGATGTTGTCTTGAACCAGTGTTCAGTGTCATGTGGAGGTGGAGCAGTCACTCTTTGACCAGGTTTTATCACTGCCTTAGAAGGGGGGTGAGCCCTTGGAAATCATCCAGCCTATAGAGCCTGTTGACATTATCAGTTAAATATATACAGTGATAAAAGTAACAATAAAAGAATAAAGTTCATTCCAATGTCAGAGAACTTAAGAGGAATATCTAAACTGTCTCTTCCCTTCCCCAGTATCCTGAAGGCACCATTTAAAATTGCAAATAAAGAAATAAAACAAATTATTCATTCAGAGCTTCTCAAAAGTTGATGTCAAGAAGTCAGACCCAAAAGCTGGGGAATAAAATGTAGAGGATAGGCTCCACCAGCAGACCTGAAGGAAGACCCCAGGGAGCTTGGCTAAGGGGGAGAGAGGACAAAGGAAGCATTTTGGTTGTACATTATGGGTAATGGACAGGGGTTTCTGGGCTTCAGCCTGCCATTTACTTGATGCATGACTTTGGGCAAGTCACAATTCCCCCAGGCCTTAATTCCTTCTTTATTTTATGAAGGGTTGGCCAAAATGAACTTCAAGGTCCATCCCAGCCCCTGAAATGCTAGGCTTTGATGACCCTTTATTTCTAGTTTTTTCAATGACTATAAAAAACACATTTCAAGCACTTAAGATTATTACAACCTAAAGCTTCCATAATTGTCACTTAGGAAAATCATAGACTCCTTAGTCCATAAAATAATTAAGTAAAAATCATAGACTGATTCATGGCATAGCCCTATATGGAGGCAATAGAGACAATAAAAAAATTGTATGCAAGCAAATCAGAAGAGAGCCAAAAGAATGCTTTTTCTTCTCTGTGTATACTGGAATTAATTTGTTTATAGCCCATCTCTGAATAAATGCAAAGAGGAACAAAATATATAATAATTATTAGTCCTAAAAGGACAGTAATAGAGTGCCCTAAAGGATGTTTCCCCTTCTTTATTCAGAAAAGATTTGTTAACTGCCCACTGCATTCTTGACACTGGCTGGGCACTCACACGTGAATACTCCAGGCTGCTCTTCTTTCTCTTCTTCAACTACCCAAGTTTGATGCATTCTTTCTGTTGCCCCTTCAAGTCCCACTTCCAGTGTGAAAATTTTCCCACTCCCTCCTAAACTTTTCCTCTTTTATGCCTCTGATTCATGACTTATTATATGTGCCATGTCTCATTAGCTGCTGCTTGTGTTTCTTTTGTACCAATGACTCAAAATGAGAAGAAACATCTGCAAACATCCATTAATAATTGAAACATGCAATATACACAGTATGTATCTAGGAAAATTGGGAGTTGTTGAAAATGAAATGGAATGCATAAAGATGAATATCCTAGGCATTAGTGAGCTGAAGTGGACTGATATTGGTCATTTTGAAAAGGACAATCATGTGGTCTGTTCACCGGGAATGACAAAGAGGAATGTCATCCCACTCAACATCAGAAAGAACATTTCAAGATCTATCCTAAAATACAATGCTGTCAGTGATAGGATAATATCCACATGCCTATAAAGAAGACCAGCGGATGGGACTATTACTCAAATTTATGCATCAGCAACTGAAACCAAAGATGAAGAAGTTGAAGGATTTTACCAACTTCTACAGTCTGAAATTGACCAAACAGCAATTTAGATGTATTGATAATTACAATAAAGATGTATAATTGGAATGCAAAAGTTGGAAATGAAAAGCATCAGTAGTTAGTTGGAAAATATGGCATTGATGATAGAAATTATACTGGAGATCTCATGGTAGAATTTTGCAAGACCGATAACTTACTCATCGCAAATACCGTTTTTCAACAACATAAATGGCAACTATACACATGGACCTTGCCAGATAGAATACACAAGAGTCAAATAGACTATATCTGTGGAAACAGACAATGGAGAAGCTCAATATCATCAGTCAGAACAAGGCCAGGGGCCATCTGTGGTACAGACAATCTATTGTTCATGTACAAGTTTAAGTGAAACTGAAGAAAATTAGAACAAGCCCACAAGAGCCAATATATGACCTTGAGTATTTTCCACCTGAATTTAGACACCATCTGAAGATTTGACTCATTGAACACCAGAGACCAAAGACAGGTTGTAGGATGACATCAAGGACATCATATATGAAGAAAGCAAAAGACTACCAGAAAGACTGGAAAGGAAGAAAAGACCAAAATGGATGTCAGATGAGACTCTGAAACTTGCTCTTAAAAGGAGACTAAACAAACAAACAAACAAAAAACCAAACTCACTGCCATCGAATCAATTCTGACTCATAATGACCCCCTTTGGGTTTCTGAGGTGGTAAATCTTTATAGAAGTAGATTGCCCAGTCTTCCTTCCATGGAATGGCTGGTAGGTTTGAACCACCCACCTTCTGGTCAGCAGTCAAATGCCTTAGGCACTATGCCACCTGAGCTCCTTAAAAGGTTGGTAGCTAAAGCAAATGGAAGAAATGATGAAGTAAAAGATCTGAAGAGAAGATTTCAAAGGACAGCTCAAAAGGACAAAGTAAAATATTATAAGAAACCATGCAAGACCTGGAGTTGGAAAATCAAAGGGGAAGAACAGATTCAACATTTGTCAAGCTGAACAAACTGAAGAAAAAATTCAAGCCTGATGTTGCAATATTGAAGGATTCTATGAGCAAAATATTGAACAATGCATGAAGCATCAAAAGAAGATGGAAGGAATACACAGAGTCACAGTACCAAAAAGAATTAGTCAACATTCAGCCATTTCAGGAAGTAGCATATGATTAAGAACCGATGGTACTGAAGGAAGAAGTGCAAGCTGAACTGAAGGAATTGGTGAAAAACAAGGGTCCAGGAATTGATGGAACACCCACTGAGATATTTCGACAAACAGATGCAGCGCTGGAGGCACTCACTCATTTACAGAAAATTGGAAGACAGCTACCTGGTCAACTGACTGGAAGAGCTCCGTATTTGTGCCCATAGCAAAGAAAGGTGATCCAACAGAATGTGGAAATTATTGAACCATATCATTAGTATCACATGGAAATAAAATTTTGCTGAAGATAATTCAAAAACAGTTGCAGCAATACATCAATGTGGAACTGCCAGAAATTCAAGCCAGGTTCAAAAGTGAGTGTGGAATATCATTGCTGATGTCAGATGGATCTTGGCTAAAAAGAGAAAATACTAGAAATATGTTTACCTCTGTTTTACTGACTATGCAAAGGCTTCCAACTATGTGAAGAATGGGAATTCCAGAACACTTAATTGTGTTCATAAGGAACCTGTAGATAGACCAAGTGGCCATTGTTAGAACAAGGGGATACTGTGTGGTTTACAATCAGGAAAGGTATGTGTCATGGTTGTATCCTTTCACCATACTTATTCAATCTGTATGCTGAGCAAATAATCTGAGAAGCTGGTCTTTATGAGGAAGAACACGGCATCAGGATTGGAGGAAGACTCATTAATCACCTGAGATATGCAGATAACAAAACCGTGCTTAATAAAAGTGAAGAAGACTTGAAGTACTTACCAATGAAGATCGAACACTTCAGCCTTCGGAATGGATTATACCTCAACATAAAGAAAACAAAAATCCTCACAATTGTAACAATAAGCAGCATCATGATAAGTGAAGAAAAGATTGAAATTGTCAAGGATTTCATTTTACTTGGATCCACAGTCAACACCCATAGAAGCAGCAGTCAAGAAATAAAATGATGTATTGCACTGGGCAGATCTGTGGCAAAAGACCTCTTTAAAGTGTTAAAGAGCAAAGGTGTTACTTTGAAGACGAAGGTGCACCTGAGCCAAGCCATGATATTTTCAGTAGCCTCATATGCATGTGAAAGCTCGACAATGAATAAGGAAGACCACAAAAGAACTGATGCATTTGAATTGTGTTGCCAAAGAATGTTGAATGTACCATGGATTGCTAGAAGAACAAACAAAGTTATCTTGGAGGAAGTACAGCTGGAATACTCCTTAGAAGCAAGAATGGCCAGACTTGGTCTCACCTACTTTGTTGTCTGAAGGGACCAATCCCTGGAGAAGGATATCATGCTTGGTAAAGTAGATGGCCAGTGAAAAAGGGGAAGATCCTCAAGGAGATAGATTGACACAGTGGCTGCAATGATGGCCTTTTAACTACAGCAATGATTATGAGGATGGCACAGGACCAGACAGTGTTTCATTCTGTTTCATATAGGTTTGCTATGAGCAGAACCAAGTTGATGGCATCTAACAACAACACAACCCTATAAATCCTTGAAGATTAGAATATATATATAGCACAATGCTTTACACAAAGCTCACTGCCGTCAAGTTGGATCCTCCTTGGGCTTCCACAGTGGTATCACTACAGAAGTAGATTGCTTAGTCTTTCTT